GCTCTCTCTCTCTCTCTCTCTCTCTCTCTCTCTCTCTCTCTCTCTCTCCCTCTCCCTGTGTGAAATTCTTCTTTCATCCGGGATGCGCTTTCAAACATAAAGTATATAATAAGCAGGATGAATTAGTAAAATGCGAAGGACCACTTAAAGAAATCGTTGGCGACAGTGATAAGACAGAAATGAAGAAAACGCCTGCAGCGGGTGGCAGTAGAGACAGATTGAGATCAACAGGATCGACGGGTTCGACGGGAACAGCAGTGACTACATCAGGTGCAAGCAAACAAACTGGAGGTGAAAATTGATTGGTTGATTAGAACAGTGAGGGAGATAAAAGATGAAATAGCATGTAAGAATGAAATTAAGACGATGATTGCAAAAATTATTCGGGAAGAGTTGGAAACTTTTAGGCGTGAATTTGAAAAAATGAAGAGAAATATACAGGAGAGAACCACCGGAATATCAGGACATAGATTAGGAAGTTATAGTGCGGCAGTAAAAAATAAGAAGAAAGAAAGCATCTTAATCCAACCGTTAAAGGAACAAGAGAGTGAAACTACTAAGAAATTAGTAAAACAAAAAGATATAAAGAAGATGGAGTAGGAATAACAAAGCTGAAGAAAGGAAGTAAAGATTCGGTCATTCTGGGATGTGAGAGCGAGGGAGAAATGGAAAAACTGAAAGATACAGTATGCGAGAAGCTAGGTGAAGACTTCAAGATCACAGAACTGAAAAAAATAAGACCGAAAATAAAAGTTGTAAATGTTGGAGAAGAAGAAATACAACTGAAAGATGAAATCTTAATTGATATGATCAAGAAGCAAAATACAATCGACAGCAGAGAAGATGAAGAATGTAGCATAAAAATTATGAAGAGAATTGTTGAGGGCGATTCTTTAATATTAGAAGTAGATGAAATGACTCATGAGCTAATGCTAAGAAAGAAAATAAATATCGGATGGAAGAAGTGTCGTGTGTTCAATCATTACAGTGTTAAGAAATGTTTTAAATGCTGGAGTAGTAATATAGGGCCGGTTCTAACTCAGAAGCGTTGAGGAGGGTGCGGGTGTGCGGGTGGAACTGTGCGCAACCGACGAGCTCCGGGGAGGGGGGAGGGGGGGCGGCGCGTGTTGGGCGACCCAGTGCCATTGAATGTAAACAGCGTGCGATTGAATCGATGCCTTCAACACCGTGATAAATAATTACGAAAAGATAAATAACGAAGATGATATAAAAAATTGGACAGGGCG